GCATTTATTCAGATTCAGTTGATTCTCATCTTTTCACAACACAAAAACATCCTTGCACACCAATTAAGGTCAAATACAAGAGCAAGTTTTGATAAACAGTCAAATCAGAATCTCCAAATTTTGGCTTGTCCACATGTATGTACAAACCGCTTGCCCTTTATTCAACCATGTAAGGAATATAAAGAAGGTGTTTTGCTCATTGCCCGCCCCCCCCCCCGCTCCCCCCCCACCCCCGGCCCCCTTCAAGTTAAATGCCCCCACTGCTACAATGCCAGGCCTCTGTAAAGACATTAATATTTGATGTGATCATGGGCTTCCATAAGCAAATTTCGCTCTCTAGCAAGTGGAGCCAAAGCATGATTAATTTAGTATTTCTCCCCCTTTAAACAACACAGGGCCCCTGGCCACAAAGCCAGGCGCGGTTTGAAACAAAAGTAGCAGCCCCTAAATCATAATCAGCATCGTCATTCAGCATCATGTGACTTTGGGGACACATTGTTGTTCTCGCACAACATCTGCACTCATGTGAAGGAGGCCTTGCCACGCACCAGCACGCATGTTAAATTCAAGATGGATTAAGCCCGCTTCTCAGTCCACCTCAGATTATCTGATAGTTCCGCTTGTTGACCGCAAATTCTGTTCACTTGACCTCCACCAAGAACCTGCATTTTAGCCTGTTGGCCTTTGAAGGCCCTTTACCACCGTGCTTGTACTCGTGCTCGTGCCAGTTCCGGGTCAGGGCCCAGGTTAGCGCCAGTTCTTTCTTTTTCCACGACCCAAATTGGCTCCAGCTCTGGTGCTTGAAACTGGTGCTTAAACTGGCCCCAATTATTTGTTGGGCCAGATTCTGGCACCAACAATGTCAGGGGCGGGGTTTATCATGACGATGGCAGATGTCGAGGAACGACTCCCTGGACACACGCGAGTGTTGAGTGGTGAACTCCGGCACAATTGTGTCCCACCAGAAGAGCGCCCGGTTAGCATGCGATCTCCGTCTTGCAGCCAGCCTCGTGATCGTTTACAATGATGATGAAAGATACAAGCGTTTGCTGATTACATGTCCATGAATGTTAGATACTACAGTACATACAAGTATAATTGATGCTATACTAAGTTGCCTATCAGATGTTTACAGTGTATTATTATTATTATTATTATTATTATTATTATTACTTTCTGGGTCTACAAATGAATGAATGGATCACTATCTGACTGACAAACTAACTGAATTTAATAACTAACTCAAAATTAATAACTTGCAAAACAACACTCCTTAATATTTCTCTGGACAAAATCTATGACTCGCTCTCTCTCTCTCTCTCTCTCTCTCTCTCTCTCTCTCTCTCTGAACACCTCAACTCGCTACGCTTTGGTGCCAGATTCAAACCATTTTCATCCTTGTGATACGTCATCAGCGAACGCGAGGCTCGTTATATCTGATCACGTGACATTCTTGGCTCGATACGAACCGCCCCTAACGAGGCTTCGTTTTTCCCCTTCGCCTTGGTCATGTGACAATGACATCACTGACACGCGCCTCGAAACGAGACTTCATTTTGCACGCGCACTTTCTCTCGCCTCAAGCATGGAAGCCCCATGTTATTGTGCCTAGTTGACTTTCCCTTTTGTTCTTTTGAGATGAAATTCCCGTTGTGAGTGCAATCCCTGCCTGGTTCTCGATCATGCATTCACCGCTACAGGTCCCTTGTGAGTGCCACGTCGAGAGTGTTGGTTGCCGCCGCCGTCAGTGCGATGAGGCCGTACACTGGCGTGATCACTGTACAGAACTTCATTAGTGATAACGTGCTTGTGCAGCTGTTGCAGGGCACGGCAGGGCCGCTTCCTCTCACATTGATCGCTTCTGTGATTTGCAACATGCAATCCGATGCTCTGTGACAGCTTGTTACTGAGGTTAAAGATGGCAATTTAATTATCTGTCAGAGGTCACATTAAATTCCGACCCTTGACCTCTGGCCACAGGACCATCTGATTAGTGGCAACCGAGCACTGCAGAGAATGCGTGCATGATAGCAGTCCGATAACGAGAGTAGCCTGACTTGTGTTCGGCAATGCTTGAATTTGTGCATATTTGTCAACTATAAACTCCTCCAGAAACCGTGACTACAATACTTTAGGATACATGTCACTAGACTGACCATGTAAGCGAAATGGTTGTTGTAGGCAGAAGGTGATGAGGCCACTGTAATTAGCTGTTTAATGTACACACATAAAAAAGAGAAGAAAAAAAAATCCATTATACTCAGCACTCAATAAGCGCAGTTGTAATGAGAAGCGTTCATTCAGACGGACAACGGCATCTGTGTTGTTGCTGGCAGAGATGGGCATTCTGTACCTGGGACGGAGGACGGAGCACGAGAAGTTTTTCAAAAGGGATGGATGAAGCAAGGACGGAAGTGGGTTTTTGTCCATCCCTAACCGCGTCACGTATGTGGTGTCAGGAGGCAAAAAAAAAAAAGCCAGGGTGTAGCCAAACATTGTATTTTCTTAACAGGCCATTTAAATATCAACTGTATTTTTAGCAACACTGCCACCTACTGTACAGTCAGAGAATATAACAAAGTGCCTACGGACAACCACGGACACAATCCAGCTGGTGAAGAAAGCTGGCTGTGTTTTATGTCTCTCGGTACCCGCGCACCATGCTTAGGATTTCTGAAAGTAAAGTTTTTGTTTTGTATTGTATTGTAAAAGTTTTGTATTTGATCATAATAACTACTTTTGTGTTGTGAAATACTAATGTTGAGTTGCTTAACCCTAAGCCATTAAAAATATAAACAGCCAATCACGGCGTAACTGAAAAATAAGGTTCAGTAGGCAGGCGTATACGCGATGAATACGTCAATGTTTGCATGCGAGAGTCCTGCACATTTTTCAAATTTGGTTTGATGTAATGTTGCAAAACATGTCATGTGTTTTGTATTTTACGGACGATGCGCTTCTCTCGTCAAGTGACTTCAGCTTTGTAGCGAGCGCCTCTATGAAGAGGAAAACACCCTAAAATGCCGAAAACTGTGGCGATCATTCTAATATTTTCAGAGGTTGATGTGACCGTTTAATAAAGACATGTATTTATATTATTGCTAAATATATTTATCGATTTATATATTTACAACATAAATTCTGCTGACCATCGAGCGCAGTTTTGGCACATTAGGCGACGTTTAGATTCCTACAGTCGGGGTTTAGACTGTCATGTTGCATCACAGTACAGCAAGTGAGAAAGGACATATTACATTCGGGGTATTTTACAGTGTCGTAGAACTACGGAAAAATAGCTGGCCTCTCTTGTGTGGCAAAATAATTCTCCCAAAAAAAAGAGGGGAGCAACTCCACTGTGTCAGTTGTTATCTATCAGTACAAGCTCCGTGCTTGATGACTATTTGAACGAGGACAAGGTAGTTGGCGTCGTGTGGTGGGGGCCCAGGATGCGAGGGTCCACTCGCACGTCTTCCAGCAAGCCACGTATGCAAATGATTGGGCAATTGCAGATATACAAATATGTACCCATGGTCCAGGCGGTCTAATGGCCCCCGCTCGCCTCCTCCTCTGGCTTGCTCAATGGCTCATTAAGATATCTGCTTGGTTTATTATGTGAATAAGTCACGGCTGGCTTGTTATGACCCTCAAGGTTCCTGTTTGTGCTGCAAGATGTGTGGCGCTCAATTAGACTGCCTGGCTGGCAGCGTTAACCCTTCGCGGCATCCACGTAGCCTGTGTACAGTGTGTGTGTGTGTGTGTGTGTGTGTGTGTGTGTGTGTGTGGGTGTGTGCGTGCGTGTGTGTATGTGTGTGTGTGTGTGTGTGTGTTTTTAAGACAGGGATCAAAAGATCAATCCTAATACAGTGCTACCAAGCTGACCTCTCCGATGTAATAAAGGCGCCATCTTTCACCCTTGGGGCCTATTGGGCGCCTCCCACCCCATGAACAGACCCGGTATCTTTAAATTAGCTGACTGCCGTGGCCTGCAGGTAATTGCATTAGTTTATCAATGTTCCCCACAATTTATTACTGAGTGTGACAATGCTAGCTAACATCCTGGTGTTAACGTCCACTGTGAGGGGACAGGGAATAGAGGGCCTTTGTGCGGCGTGTCTCCTTGCAAATAAAGAGGAAGAAAAACACTTTGGAAGGAAAGAGTGAAATCACTTGTTCTTGGTTTTTAGCTACATAGGTTCGGTTTTAATGAATGCCGCTCAACTTTAACATTTCAAATCAGCCTATGTCTGTGTTGGAATGCAGTGGAATTGCTCAAGTTTGTCTCAAAATCTGACACTGCGTTTTAAGTCCTCATTGCACACGGACTAAGGAAATTTTGTGTATGCCTTTGTGGGGACCAGCATGTTTAAAATATGAAATATGTCAACAGTATTTATACTTTACATATTTGAGACAAAGATTACAACAGTCGACATATTTATTTCAATCTTTAATAATAAAACTTTATAGAGTCGAGAGAAGCATTGGTGGCGTCGAAGACGGTTCTCATTTGACTCGTACAGGCTTTCGGTTCACTCGGAGGCTCTTCTGCTGGAGGCGCTGACGGTGGAGCTGAGGATTTTAAATTGGAGAAAAACATGGTGATGGGTCTCGCTACAATGTTCATCGTGTCTTCTTATTAGTTGAAATAGGTTGAAGGTTTTTTTTTTTTTTTTAACCACACAATGGTCTTTTTTGATCAGCTTAAGTATTCAAAAAATGTTATCGCTTAACCCCAAAAACACGAACAAAATGCTAAGACACAGTAGGCGAGACGCAACAAGGGAAGGTGCTGGGTGAGGCTACGATAATGCGCAGCCAATCAGCTCACGGGATAAATCCACTCGTGCTCTCATTGGTCGATGTCGCGCCGGGAACCAATCACGCGTCTTGTATGGGTATAGTACAGGCATGTACAAAGCCTCGGAGTCAACTTATCTCTCCGTTCGGCATGCGGGGAAAACTTTTTTCTTGCGCATCAACATGAAACAATATGGGTGCCGATACAGCTGCATTTTTTTCCATATGATATATATTTTATGAATACAGTATTTTGGAAAATCCCACAAAGCACTGAAGCCACAAGACATGAACCGCGATGTGGATGACTGTAATCACTCCAAAATTAGCACCCGCTGTTTTACTGTATTTGCATCAGTAGGTGCTGAAGTGAGATTGGGATTGTAACACTGAACAACAATTTCCCAACCTTTGGAAGAATTCCTCCGGCTGGAAGCATCTTTCCATCCCGTGCGTTATGGTGTGTCGGAGGTGCCGCACAGACCCGCCGTGATTGCTGGATGGATGAAAGCTCACCGTGCAACATGTCGATGAGTGGCAAAGCTCTGCTTGATCAAGCCTTTGCATATTTACTGGTTCTGAAGCGCAGAATGGAACACATCCTCCCTCCCTCCCTCCACGTTGGAACCTGGTGACATTCTTTGTCATTCGGGCTAACTTTTTTTTCCTCCTGCCATCTTTCACGCCGCTTCCCCCATTTTCTGCATTCCGCCATTTCTTGATCCTGCTCCTTGCGCTCCCTGCTGCTTAATTAAAGCATGTATTATTAATGCGGCCATATCTTTGTCCATCCTTCTTCCCGCCGTACGTATGACTGCAACATTACATTTAAATTGTTTTGGTGTAATTTCCCCTTTTAAAGTCCCCCATGTAATCAGTGTTTGTAGAGACGAGGGGAAAGTGGCCGAGATTACAAGCTTGTAGCGCGACATCCTGTTCGACGTGCGCCTCGCTCACTATAGGCGCCGTAATTAGGCCTGTTTTACAAAGCAAATCGAAATGGCTCCATTCGGCACAATATGAGCTTCATAAAAAGAGTGTGTGGTTGCCGCCTTTGCCGAACCCCAGGGAAAGAGCCGGAATACTTCAGTGCTTATAGCCTTTTGATAAGGGCCACCATTTTCCTCCAGAAGCCATCAAAATGCACAATTTAAGACTGGTGGGATTCTCCACGTTCAGAGACACAGTTTTCCATTTGATGATTTTTATTTTTTCAACATCCCCTTTTGCCATTTTTGCTCAAGCATTTTCCAGGGTGTATTTACCAAGTATGTCGGACAAATTCCCAACTCGACGGCTGTATTTTGTTTCGTCTGATTCATTTGCCCTCCAAAAGGGCTTGAGAATGAGTTAATATATGTTGTAATACATCGACCTCAAATGAGCTCCTCGGAGCTCATTCACCTGCCGGTTGAGTAGAAGCACCTGCGGCTAAAGCCAAACTATTGCGGGGACAGGCTTTTTGGCTCCTGGACTTGGACTTTTGTGTGTGTTTGTGTGTGTGTGTGTGTGTGTGTGCATATCGGAAGTTCAAATAATGGATGTATCTACCTAGCTAGCTAGCTGTCTATCTCTATTGCAAACGGGGGACCAACTCTTAATACTCTTTTCACGACCTGTAATAGAACTTGCAAATAAAACTCACTTTGCTGCTGATGGGTTATTAAACCACACAAGCTTTGCGGTTGTGCAACTAAAGTCACGACATTTCCCGTCACAGTCACTTACTTTTGGCCTCCTCTAACGATCCTGTCAAATGAAATGCTTTCCCGTTTATCATTCACCAAAACCTTCTGGCCCAAACATTATCGATTGAGCTGGCCAATTGGCCGGCATGCCGCTGTAAACTGGATGATTTAAAATGCACGTCCTTCAGTGTCACATAACGGCCGCAGAATGAGATCGAAATGGAGGCCGAATGTGTGTCATCGCAATAAATAAAGAGGGCTGGAATAGAATCCGGCAGGCAGACAAAGGCTGTCGACGTGATTCTGCTCCATCCTACAAGTGATTATTGCAGGAAGTGGCCATGATTAGCTTTGTGGAGATGTGTGAAAAGTGTGCTGCGGGAACGAGATCTCCCTTTAATGGGACAGATGCTGCGCTTGAGTAATGCGGTGCCTCTTCGTGTCGAGGAGTAGGTACCACTGAAAGACTCGGTAATATTATACAAGAGTGTTTAAATATTTTAATTTGTCAGAGGGGCCCCTCCCATGTCCTGCATTACCCTGACAACCATCCTTCATCGGCGGAATGAATGCATTATTCATTAACACTAATTATTTTCACATAACGTCTGCCCCGATATATTTAACCTCCACATTACACCGGGGATAATGGCCTTGTAAAATTGAATTGCAAGAAAGAAGTGGAGTTGGAAAGCTCATTTAAAGAACATAAGAGAGTGAGGGAGGCACCGGATGGGATTTGAAGCAATTGAAGAGGCTGAAGAGAGGGGGCTGACGGGGAAGAGTGGTAAGCACTTTGGGACAAGCCGCCCCAAAGTGACAGGACATTTGTTCCTGTCTCATTTGCATGTTAAGAGAAGGGCTCAGTGGGTCTCCGTCGTGTTTAAGATAAACCTTGACACCCCGCCGCTCGACGTTAAAATTGGCTCCCACTGACCTGACACACAACCTCACCCATTAAAAGAGGAAAAACCTGCAGTGGATGTGCATGCCTCCTTCGCTGCTGTCGCCATCTCGTCCTCCTCCCCGTCCGTCACCTGAGAAACGCTCGGCACCCAAGCTTGCTAGGCGCTGCCGTCATTTGGGGTACGTTGTTGACGGCAGTCCGTCTCTTCACGCACAGGCCCCTGCTCGTATTTCCATCCAGAGTTCTCTCATACACTTATTTGACATTTTATTAACATTACGGATGTTCACCTCCATTAAATGAGGCCTTTTTCTTTCTTTGTCTTGTCCGGGCCGAGAGCGCGCACAGAGCCTGCATCCATTTTCCGTGCGCTTTGGACTGGGTGATGACGTCACGGATGTGATGCCTTTTCAAAGAAAAAAAAAAAACATCAAAGTTTTAATGTTGGTTCTACAAAACCAGTCATGAGGTCGCTTTGAAGGATCTCCAACATTTGAATTTACAGCTGACAAGCTGAGCAAGCTCATCTCTCATGTAACTTGTATGTCGAATCAACTTTCCCCATGCAAATGAATTAAAATGCCGTTAATCCGTTCCATATTCAAGATAATAACGGAATGAAAAGTAATCAACTTTTTTAATAAAGTGTAAGCCAAAACACACATGCGCGTGGCTTCATTTTCATTCAGTAAGCATCTGTAGAAATGTATGTTTGGTGTAACGTGTAGGTACATGTACACATATTTTATCGCCTCCCACATGGAGCAAACCCATCCCCCTATCCATTTCCTATAGCGCTTGTCTTCATTAGGGTGATGCAACGCAAGGAGACCAAATATCAGAATCACCTCTTAGTATGATGCGTTGCAGTTTTACATCGATTTACATTAAAATTGCTCAGTAAGCATCTGTAGAAATGTATGTTTGGTGTAATGTGTAGGTACATGAACACATATTTTATCGCCCCCCCCCCATGCAGCAAACCCATCCCCCTATCCGTTTCCTATAGCGCTTGTCTTCATTAGGGTGATGTAAAGCAAGGAGACCAAATATCAGAATCACCTCTTCGTATGATGCGTTGCAGTTTTACATCAATTTACATTAAAACTGTTCTAATAAACATTATCTCTCTGTGTCAGTCAAGTATTATATCTTGGCAAGGGCAGGGTTTTTGACACATCTTTTCAATTGAAGCTCATCATATTTCACAGGTGTGCTAAATGTCGCGGACAGGGAGTGTGTACTGTATGCATACGAATGTGATTCTCTTCTCAGTAACAATCTTGTGCTCGTTTCAGAGTGACATCAAATAAGCATTTTTTTTCTCCTTTTGTTGTGTTTGCCAGAGTAATGCTGCAGAGGCACGCGTGTTCATCTCCAGGCTATGTGAGCATAAATGCGAGCGAGCTACTTTGTATGCTTGATGTTGGGTAATTGCAGTTCATTTCAACTGGGAAAAATCGGATTCTCACGCCTTTTTGTGTTCGAGGCCCAGAAGGCATGGCTCCTTTTGTGTAAAGTATCTGTCTCTCTGACATTTAGATTTGCCTTTTAAAGATGGCATTTTTCAAAAGTGGCAGTCCTGCATATGTTTTCTACAGGCGACAAAATTATTCTTTGACATCCCAGTCATAGTTGCTATTAAGTGACACATTTATCCAACCGTAAGCCATTTTCTTTTCCTTGGTAATCAGGATATTATTTCATGCAATGTACTACAAAAATGGTTTGCGTCTAAACATAGTCATTACCAGCATTGCCCAAAGTCAGCTTTCCGAAATGCCACAGCATTCCTTGGATCCTGAGCCTGGAGCATGAGGAGCAGCAGCTCATCTGCAGACAAAAAAAAAAAAGAACTATAAATATGTGTCACATGAGTGTGACTTATATGTCAAGTAAATAACCTATAATGGCAATAGGCTGACGGGGTTTGATGGCTGCAAAGTGTGCTCTTGTCTCACTGAGGAGTAATGATGTCTCCTGTGAACAACTGGCGTGTTCATCCTTGAATGACTCCTTTTGGATTGCTGGAATTTTCCAATTATTGCTCTCCGGTGCCTCACAATCGACCTTTACCTCCTCCGAAAATTACCATGCGATCCCTAAATAATTTCCTCAACAAAGATGGTGCTTTGCATTATGAAATATTCACAACTCAATTTTCCCTGCTCTATCAGACTTTGGTGCGCGCCATAATTACATAATAATCCATAATGTAATTCATTTGCCGCGCTTCTGGAATTGGAGTCCCTGTCCCGCTCGGGTAAATATGTCAGTGAAAATGTGAGGGTGTCTGCACTGCGGAACAAATTTCTTGCTTTCGCTTTTTTGGATGATCGTCACAATCTGGGTTTGCGTCGATTTTGGTTTTGATTCGATTTTAGTTTTGTCAAGTTTTCTCATTGCGCGTGTCCACCTGTGCTCTTAAAGCCGGCCGGTCCCTTGTGTTGTCCAATCAGCTCCCTCGGTCACGAGTGTCTTGTCCAGATCTTTCTCGTTATCTCGTCAGTTGCTTGGACTGAAGTTTCCTGGTTTCTTTCTGTCCTTGTTGGTTCATCGTTTACTGTCTCAGTCCTTGTTTTGTCAAGTCAAGAGTCATTTCATGCTGAGTCTTTTTCCATCCATCCATTCATCCATCCAGCCATTTTCCGATCCGCATATCCTCACAAGGGTCGCGGGCGTGCTGGAGCCTATCCCAGCCGTCTTGAGGCAGTAGGCAGGGGACACCCTCAACTGGTTGCCAGCCAATCGCAGGGCACACAGAGACGAACAACCCATTTGCACCGTGGGACAATTTAGAGTGTTCAATCAGCCTGCCATGCATGTTTTTGGAATGCGGGAGGAAACGGGAATAACTCAATTGTCAATTCGACTTTGTCAAGCGGTTGGGTGAGATAAAATGACCGGAATCAAGATGACTTTATTTTGTGCAACCACTTGATGAACTGAAACTAAGTAAATTCAGCCAACATCATTTTCAGTGTACTATTTGTTTCGGTGCTATGAACCTTGGACTTCTGTTTGTTTAGTATTTCGTATTAATCCAAGTGGCGTGTTTGCCTTCTTGTTCTTCAGAAATTAAATTCTTCTTTTGGAGCGCGGCCTGCCGTGTGTGTGTGTGTGTGTGTGTGTGTGTGTGTGTGTGTGTGTGTGTGTGTGTGTGTGTGTGTGCGTGTGCGTGAGACCTTCCCTTACGTAGTTGTTGCCATGGAGTAGAATTAGTTTATGTTGTACAAAACACTTGAGATGGCCTGACATCACCATAAGATATGTATGAATATGGGCAATACAAAACAATTGGCTACGGGTTTTATTATCAATAAAAGTTAACAGGGAGTACTTAGGTTTTCAGCGTTTAAATTATTCTAAGTTGGCCTTGTTTGTGTGCGAGGTTATTCATTCATTCATTTTCCATCCGCTTATCCTTACAAGGGTTGCGGGGGGGCTGCTGCAGCCTATCCCAGCTGTCTTCGGGCAACAAGCGGGGGACACTCTGAACCGGTTGCCACCCAATCGCAGGGCACACAGAGACGAACAACCATGTGCGCTCACACTCACACCGAGGGACAAATTAGTGTGTTCAATCAGCCTGCATGTTTTTGGAATGTGGGAGGAAACTGGAGTACCTGGAGAAAACCCACGCAGGCCGGGGGAAAACATGCAAACTCCACACAGGCAGGCCGGAGCTGGAATTGAACCCGGTACTTCTGCACTGTGAGGTCGACGCGCTAATCACTGGACCACCGGGCATCAACGTTTAACGTTTAAAAAAAAAAAAAAAACCTTTAGTGGCACAAAAACTTTTGAATGTTTTGCTGTTTCTTTGGCATTGTGTTTGTCCACCGTAAAATAAACAGATGTGGTCGAAACGTCGACTGTCGTGGTTCAAGCTTGTGTATTCAATCTGGCGACCAATTTTTTTCCCAAGATCGCCCTGTCATGGTTCTCAAATTGGGACACCCTTCATTTACGTGATACCAATTAGTGTCGAATTCCCATTCCTCAGAGTCTTCCTGAAGACTTTGCTCGGAGGAGGTGTCATTTAAATGGCATCAGTCACTGCGCGAATGAAAATGATGTCGGCGCTCATATCTCATGTGACAGACAGCAGAGGAAGAAAAGAGCGCTGTAATTCATCAAATGTTATCATCAAGCTAATTATAATGGGAAATGTAGTCAAGGCTCAACTCTCTGCTTCAATTTCGAACGGATTAACAAAATGATCCGCGATGCTAATCGAGTTCAGAATAATTGATCATTCACCCGAAGACGAACGAGGCGGCGAGCTAAAACTCAACAGGGCCTTCATTCATTCGGAGGACTCGTGAAACATTTTACAATTATTTAGAATTGACTAAAATATCAAAATAATGTTTTGCGGGCGCACACGTTGCATATGCTAATCCATTTAAGGATAGCAGTCACCACTTGACATTCCTGTCACAAAATCGCACCGTGGTACTTGGCCGTGCTCTATTAATTTGCAGAGTGCTCATTTGGTGTCCTGTCTTTGCAGGGTGGGTCCCCTCTGACTCTGACCTCCCAGACTCCTGCGCAAGGGGGGCCCTAATTAGATTCTCATGTGTATTTAATGAACGCACTTACTTTGGTCCTGTGAGACAGCTCTGGATGCTATCAAGCAGTTCAACACTTGATGCGTGACCAAGTGTATTGTCGCAAAACTGAAGGACCAGAAACTGAGGAGTCAAAAAAATAAAACCTCTTTTTTTTTTTTTTTAATTACTTGCATGCTGATTTGAACACAAATAAAAGCGAACGTGAATGAAAAATAGTCAGCTAACTCCAGTTTTTTTCTTTTTGGGGTTCTGAATGTGGAGATGGGATTCGGCTGCTGTTAGATGCAGAGCTGGATCGAATCTGTGAGATAGAGGGCTGTTAGCCAGCCCAAAAAGTTGGAAAACTCCTTCACTATTTGCCGTAACATCCTGAATAGAAAGCTGATCAACAATACAAACAAAACAGAATTCTTTCCTGAGTGACTTTAGCGTGTTTTTTTTTTTTTTTGCAGTGGCCCTTTCATCCATCCGTTTTTCGGTAGGTGGCTCTCCAACGAAAACATTTGGGCACCGCCGCTTTATTGGCATGTCTTCATCTCAGCCACTTACGGTTGATGACGGAACAATGTCGTTGTGTTGCGCCAATAAGGTGGACGTCGGGCCCTCTGAATGTTGCCCTGCATCCTAATGAGGACAAACATCTGGAGCGGTCTCACGCTGTGGTGCTGTGACGGATGTGACCCCCGCGGTCAGCCCTTGGCCCCTAAACCCGCCAGGACCCATCGAGCAGAAGCTCGGCTCCTCTTAGCGTGCCGCACGGCAACATAAATCGCTCCTCGCGCGACTTAACTGTCCAATTTGCATGGTCCCTCCGCAAAGGCAACTCTTAATGACGTGACCGTGCGTGCGTGCGGATAGAAGTGATGCGCCACCAAAAATCACGGTGGCAGTCTGACTGATGGGCCTTTTCTTCTCTAAATACGAGGACGGCGGAAACGCAAAGACAGAGAAAAAGGAGAGAGGACGTTCGCCGGGGGAAGGCAAGATAAAGAGGGTGGCGAGCTGGGAGTCTGGCGAGTTTTATCTGGTGGGCAGCGAGGGAGACGCTGGCGGGAGGATCTGTCTCTGTTAGAGGGAACACGGCCCCGTTATTAAAGCCATTTATCACCGGCTGAATATTCCCCCTTTAATAGGCTTTGTCGTTAATTACCTAACTTTGTCAAGATAGGGAGTCGGGGGCTCTCTGTTCTCTTGGCAGGCAGGCATGCACGCACCCACACACACACACACACACACACACACACACACACACACACACACACATTTCTTCAGGTGAAGAGACAGTTCACATGAACGCACATGACACACATCAAATGCTGCCACTCTTCTAGTGGGTGTATGTTGTTCTCGTTTTCCCAAAACTCAAACATTCGCCGGCAACAACACGATACACCTGCACAACAGATTGCATCCAATTTGAAACAGACTTGCAGGAAAAAAACAAAACAAAACAAAACAACATTGCATGTTTTGTCATTGAGAAGACTGGAAATAATTGTGCATTTTTGTGTGGGGAGGGGGGGGGCAGTGATTGGAATGATAAATGACTGGTTGATGAATTGATTGTTGACAACTCAATTTTATTGATGATTAATTGTGACCGCAAAAGGATGCACTCTGGATTCATTGACATCATCATCATGATTATTATTGTGATCAATTCACCCATTTTCCGAACCGCTTTATCCTCGCGAAGGTTGCAGGCCTGCCGGAGCCTATCACGGCTGTGATCAGGCAGTAGGCAGAGGACAACCTGAACCGGTTGCCAGCCAATCGCAGGGCACACAGAGATGAACAACCATTCGCGCTCACAATCACACCCAAGGACAATTTTGGAGTGCCCAATCAACCTGTCGTGTATGCTTTTGGAATGTGGAAGGAAACCGGAGTACCTGGAGAAAACCCACGCAGCCACGGGGAGAACATGCAAACTCTACACAGGAAGGCCGAAGCTGGAATCGAACCGTGCACCTGCACTGTGAGGCGAACGTACTATTCTCTCTCTCTCTCTCTCTCTCTCTCTCTCTCTCTCTCTCTCTCTCTCTCTCTCTCTATATGAGCTCTCTCTATCTATCTATCTATATGAGAAGGCCACATTGCGGAGCTGACAAATTCAATCCACTTGTTGAAACTCCGATTTTAGGCAATCACTGTAAATTGTCCCCTATGTATGTACCGTACTTCTCTTTGGGTTGATTACTTTGCATGCCAAGTGGTCGCACGAGCAGCCCGGTGGCTGGTGGAGTTCACAGTGTGCGGAAACTGATCTGGAAATGAATAACGCCGCCCTGAATATGATAATAGGCGACTCGGAGAGGGCTGCATAATACGGAGTCATTTCTCAGCGTTGCTGATTACGAAGAGTCAAGTGCGCGCACAGATTCCCACATGCGCCATTCAACACCGAAAGAGTTGAGTATTTGTCCCAGTAGATTTCCCACTCGTGCCCAATCGTTTACGTGGCAGTTACCCGAAGATGGGAGCGCAAGGCGATGTGACGGCGACACCATTGATCCTTTTGGCCTGATTAGCCGCCCCCGCGTCCCGTCAAAGCAAACTCATCAGATACATTGATCACGGAGCGCTTTTTAACGCTTCCCCCGGCAATAATATGATTTTTCTCCAGTCAAATAACTGGTTATCTGTTGAGAAAGTGCTGCCAGATATTTGAGATTTCAAGATTTCCTCAGGGACGCCCAGAGAGTCCGGAGCCGCATTTTTAAAGCATTTAGCATCACTCCAGTCACGGTGATAAAATGCGATTTCATTACCTGAAGAACTGCCGTGATTGCTGTAAACTTGATTTGTAGGACTCCGAGCAACAAGGCTGGCTCCGCACGCCGCACAGCGACGACGGGGGGCTCCATCGCGCTCTTCTTGCTACTTTCTCTTTTGTCCAGAAGAGGAGGCTGTGCTCCCTGCAAACAACAGGAGGCCGTCTGGGAAAAAAAAAGACACTTGAGTACAGCAGAGACTTGATGCCAGAGAAAAAAGGGGAAAAGTCGGTTTGAAGTGAGGGCCCGAATAGAAACGGCTTTAACTTTGGATTTAGTGGAGCTGTGCGTGAGGGATTTTCACCATCGAGAAATGACACGATTGGATCTTTCCGACGTACTGCTCATTAAATCTCCGACTTGATTACATCGGTCATTATCAATCACGTGACCTCAATGGTCATCTCCACTCCAAGAGACATTTCCCAGCAGCCACGTTTATCTGGCATTTTCGGCTTCTGTGCCCGGTGCTAATGAGCATATCTTCAAGCAATACACTTGTAAGACGAGGGGTGTCGTAGGTTTTTAGTGGATAGCTCTACTTTAAGAATGGGCAAAAGGAGAGATGGAATCCTTTGAACGCAGCTTTTTATTTTCCCACGTCTGCTCCGCAACTCCCGAACGAACACACCTCTTTCCGGTCACGAAAACACTTCCTGCTTCTCTTCAGCCAATCAGACGCAAGCATCATAAGAATGTTTCAACAATTATTAAACAGAATTTAGGTAACTATAACATAAAGGAATATAATGCTCAAATATAAAATTAAAAAAAAAATAATTTAACATAAGTTTAGACACTGTTTGCGGTGATTAAAACGCTTTCGTTCATGAACACCGCTCATGACAAAAACTGCCCAAATGCGAGATGTTGATGAGGTTAGCTATCCTTTCAAAAACGGTGCCTTTCTTTCTTCTTGGGTTGTTTTGAAGACTTTCACCTTTATTCGTGAATGGGGTGAGCAAACTATCGCATAACATATTCTTCAGCACACTCGATGATGTGACTTTCGGCTTGTCCCACTGAGACATTTGTTTGGCACCGTTTGTAAGTCGGATAGCATCTTTTAAAATACACACCTTGTCAAATGAAAAACCTCCCCTTGTGTCCCAGACCCAAAAGTGAGCATGAATGTTTTTCTAAAGGCGCAATCGTTTCAACGTCTGAATGTCCCTAAAAGCATGTTCAAAAATCATTTTATTAAGCGGCACCGTGACAACCATGAACGCTCGTCCAATTGATTATAGATGTCATTTTCACTCTTGACAATAGCGGGCGGGTTCCGTGCATTGATTAAACGTCCATTCTGCGCAGGTGCGAGTCATTGTGCTGCGATGCCAATAAACGCACAGCTTTGGAGATTTCAGCTTTGTGGTTTTGTCGCCCGCCTTGTAACTTGACTGGACTTGATCTCGTGTGGCTTCCGCCATCAAAGTGTGACGTTTTCCTGTCGGCACGTAAACATGCTCCAGACGCACGTGTGAACAACTGCGGACCACGTGACACCCCCCCCCACCCCTTGCGATCGCGGCACTTGCGCTACGGTGGTGATCCAAACTTACGATAGCGTAACATCCCTCCCTGCCCGCCACAGCCTCAGGCGAAACATCAGCAGCATGCCTTGCAGCTCTTCTGATGACAAAATGTAATTGTCTGCATTCATGTCTGCTTTATTGTCCCTTGTCACTCGACTTGAGCTGCTTATCCATCTTGTGAGGTTTTTGTTGGAAAACATCAGACGGTGAGGATGTCTTGTTTCATCCCGCTCATTGTGTTTTTTTTTTTTATGGCTTTTCAAAACCACCTGGCTTGTAAAGTCAGGTTGTCAGAAAGGTGAAGCTACCTTGCAGCTGAGATTATTTCTCTTAGCATGAGGAAGAATATTTCATATTTTATATTGCGGCTGTGCAATAACAGTTATTATGGCTCATGTCTACTGGAGAATGGTACTGGGGTTTTGTATAAAAAACAAACACTGTAACACGCAAAAAAAAAAAAAATCCTCTGAATAGGTTTATGTATGTTGTCATGACTGCTTGTTTTATTATGCTGCAGTAACCAAAGCACTACTTAACACTTATTTTTGCTGCAGCTCAGGAAATGCATTTTTACCTTTGTCTTTGTTTTTTTTCTTTTTGCATCACGGTGGTGACATTCATATGGCAGGTAAATAGTCCAGCTCAAATGAAATCTATTCCTGAACTCTTCACATAATTTCCAGCTGAAATCTTTCGAGAGCATGTTACTCGGGCTGCGGGCCATCAGCGGTTTGGCCGCACTGAAGGTGAAGTCAGAACCATTGTGTGACTGTTTTGTGAGATAATGCGAGCGTGGGTGAATCGAAATCCTGAGCCAAAATTTGAACTTTTGACTGTGAGGTGCACATGCATGCTAGCTAAATGCTCCACCATGCAGGCCCACGCGTTTCAGGATGTCCTATTTCTGACCAAAAGTAATTTATCAACCATTAAAAAGGCTCTTTCCTTTGGGTGCAGATTTTTCACTGCTGGACAATATACGTCACCCACTTCACTTGACTTCAAAAACTTCTTGAGCACAAAGAAATCCCAATTTGTTCATTCCAAACAGATACGCGAGCATGAAATGTCCACCCAAATAAGGTGAGAATGTGAAAACACTTGAACGCCATCAAGCATGTTTTGGCAGGCAAAGGTGGCCAGATGTCCTCTGCAGGTTGACCCTCCGAGGAAGTGCATGTCCCGTCATTCTGCTCGACAGTCAATGTCTCATGCGGCCATCAACATTTAAGCAGTCCTTATGCATGACGCTATGTGACTTAAAAAGCCTGCCTGGTCACATCTGATTAGCGGATGCCTAATCAGACAAGTTCGTGCACACGTGCGACTCCAGTGAAAAGGCGAGGTTGATTTAGGAGACGAGCACAGAGAGGGTCAGAGCAGACGAAGGGGTGCTTGGTGGAAACAACCTGAGCAAAATGAGATTTCGTAAGAACTTGTGAAGCGCCGACTAAGCACAGGACGAGCCCTGGCGCCCAACGAGCACCGAGATTTTTGGGGGGTGGAAAATGGTTACAAGACACAAATCTCAATGTACAAAAGCTGTACCAAACACTCGGCCTTTTACGAATACGACAATTTGGTAAATATAGATGAATTATTGTGTTGCAGTTGTTTGGATGAGCGTAGAACTGCACTCCCAAGATGTTTGAGGCATTTCGGCAACCACATTTTGCTCCATGAGAGTCGAAACATTCGAAGCCAAGCAGTTCCACACCACTGCGAACGACAAACACGCCACAATGTGCCGTATGCGATCAAGATGGACCTTGCTGATTGCGCATGCGGTCATCACATTGTGGCTCGCTGGTTTAGGAAACACACTTCAAAAGCTTGTCGCTAATGTAGCCATCAGTACAAAGCAGAGAGAGTGAGACAAATGGCGAGTCGGGATGGGTTGGAGTCAACCTTTGGTGACTTCGCCGTGTAAAGAAGCTGGGCCGCACAATGATGGTGGGTTGAGAAGGCGCTTTTTGAGGCCAAAGAGGAGAGAGAAGGCACCTCAGAGGATGTGACATCATCATCCAATAGAGATGGGGAGCAGGGGGAGCAGCAGTTCAGCCATAACTCATCGCTGCATTGTAAAATATTGAAAAGCTTTTGTTGTGCCTAGTTAAACATTCACTGATGTGACACAAACTGTGAACAATGCCATTTCACACGCACGGAAAGTCCTCTCTCTCTCTGTATAATTCATGATCAAGAGCTGCGGAGGTAGGCCGCATGAGTTTGCTCTCAACATCACTGAGCTGGAATAAAAAGCCCCTCCCCCCCAAAAAAAACATCTTGAAAAATATTTACCTTAATAAATATGAAACAGGGACGCTGATTTGATAATAAAATCATTCCACAGTGAGTATAAATAGCCTTTGTCTCATTTTTCCCGACCCCAGTTTAACATCATGAAGAACTCTTGAGAATAAAGAAGAGAGTTTCATGAATGTCACGAAAGGTGACCGATGTCGGACAAAATATTGGCAAGGCCTGAATCGAGGTCCTCATGCCACACGTTAGCTGTTAAATTCAGGGTTGTTGGCGATTAGTAAAAAGTTAATTATTAACCATTTATATTCATGACAATGATCTTAATTGAATGTCCACGGAACAAATCTGGTGCAAAGTCACACATGCTCGCATGCACACCTCCACCAGGCATGAGCATAAATGATGTCACTCCGGAGATTTGGATTCTTTTTCTACAATCGAGAGGGAGTAAAAAAAACGAAGTTGAAAAGAACTCATCCTTGTAGTCTTAATTTGTTTCCACATTTAAATGCCAACATTGTTGGCTTGTCGTTATCCATATCTGGGGAGCTCATGCAAATGTTTTATTTTGGCACCGCTTTGTCTGTGGCGGGCTGATCAGGAGGGAGCTTCGCGGCAAATAGCTCTCATGATGCTCTCATAATGAATAAATCATTTCATCACCACAGCTGGGAATCTAATTCCTACCGGCGTTCAGTGAACACGTTTTTACAACACGCGGTGGTACGGGTCAGCAATTTAAACCGGAGCTCCACGTACGGTGCCTTGGCTCGTGTGTGACACATAATGGTGCGGGTGGCATTTAAGAAATACTCACACAACGGGGGGTCAATTTATCTCCAGGTCACTGAGAATGACATCATCAAACCACTCTTAACTCTGCAAATAATTGCAGCTCGGCAGCCTCTCGATGGCCAAGGCGCTCCCTCAAAACAAACAGGCGGCTGCGGGCTTTGCCCTCAATCTCAAAAGCATCACCTCGGAGTGGATGAGAGAGAAATGGCCATCTCGACAGAGGAGGACCAACACTGAACAACGACAAATGACACCGCAAACAATCCTGAGCGAGCATTTTGCCATCACCTCTGCCTATGCCCCCCACCGCCACATTTCTTTCACCCCCATTTCGAGGAGGATTGCACTCTTCTATTCTACTTCGCACTCCAGCTTCACAATCACACGACATTTGCTTCACCTAAAAGAATTCTAAACCTTCCTTCCTGAAGGCAACAGTGCTCCATTTTTGGAAAATGTGTTTTGCAATAGCTGAGAACGTCAAAGCTCCACATCTCCGTCGATGACTTGGTAACACGCAAAAGGTGCAGCCCGGTGGCTTTTCTC